GCATTTGTTAAAAACTAGATTCAGTGCACTATCTTTGAGGAATCAATACTCCATTTGACAAAACCTGTAACCATCAATAATCAAGTTCAATCCAAATAATAAAAACAAAGAGAAAATAAAAAAGAACTTTGTTTTCCCAAGAAATAGAATAGGAGATTTTGTGATACCAAAGTCCTTTAGAATAGAATAGCCTAACATCAAGGGCACTGTCAATAAAATGCGATTTACAACACTTTTGCTTAAACAACTTTGTTATGAAGGAACATGAATACATAAGCTTAAACAACTCGTGGCAAATCAATTGATCGAATGCATAACAGTCAACAAAATAATCAAGTCAAAGGTCAAATGTGAGTTCCCAACACAAACTAATCCAACTGACCGAATAACAAGAAAGACGGGAAGGGTGGAGAATCATTAGTATATGTCTAGAATACCTTGAAAGCATGTGCAATTAAGAATGGAACATTATTTGATGTCATGTATATATCCTTTATGCTCTGTTTTCAATGATCACTCGCTATCATTTACGACTGAGTGTTTAGCAAGTAAGATTGTTCTACTAATTTCACAATATGATTAGCTTGCTTAAGGTTCCATAATTCTTACTAAAGGTTGAGACAAATATCCTACATTTTACACACATATCCTATATAAATATATGTATGTCGGATGTAAATATCTTGACATGTATGTGCACACAAGTTCAAAGCAAAACATACATGTCCTGCCCTTGCTCATTAGCTAGGGCAGTCTTTGCAATACACAAAAAAGCAGCATCTATATTGTAGTCCTCTTTAGCAGATGTCTTGAAATAAGGAATATTTCCTTTTAACGCACACCAATCCAATGCTTTTTTCTTAGACACCTGAATTCAAGATAACCACATGAGGCTCCTTAGGTGGTAGTTTGGAAAAAAGATCCCCAGTCCAATCACTCCTCTTACAAAATTTTTCTTTTAAACTATATTTATATTAAAAAAAAGGCTATGAGAAAACTTCAAAACATATCACCGTCTGCTTAGCGCTCAACTGTCTCCCACATCAATATCAACCTCATTTTCAAGCAATAGAAACAGAAATTTCCATGAAACTTTTATCTCAATAGGAGCTCATCTTCAGTCAGAAAACATAAGTCAAAAGATGAAAAGGGCTATCAAATTTTGACATAATAATGATGATGAGTATAAAGATGTAAAATAATCAAATATTGCATAAGAAAAGAAATTTTGATCAAGTCCTGTACTCCAGCTATGCATCATCACCAAACAAAATATCAACACCATCACAATGGGTGGACTCAAATCTCTTCAAATAAAAAGAAACAAGCAACCAATGCAGTGCACTCTCATAACTTCAAGTGTACAAAGGATATATTTCCCATAATCAAAATGTTGCTATCTTCTACTTCAGTTAAAACGCTATTAAAGCAATATATATAAGATATTGACAAAAATGCCAAGTGTAGATAAAAGGGCTAAATGAAGAAAATAGGGGGAAAAATTAAAATTAAAGGTAATAAAGCAAAAACAGCGTCAAAATTGCCAATTTTTCGAACCCACATAATCAAGAAAATATGATATTATGAATCAAGTTCCTCCAACAACAAAAAAAAAGTTTAATAACAAGATGGATGACATAGTCTAAGGGTTTGTTTGGCTGGAGGGGAGGGAAAATGAGCCCTCCCCTCATTTGGTTAAAAATTTTGGAGGGGAGGGGAGCTAAAATGTGCCCTCCCCCCCTCCCCCCATTTTGGCTCCCCTCCAAATTGGGAGGTTTTTGGAGGGGAGCCAAATTTTTGGACCATTATGCCCTTATAGTTTTTTTAATATTCCACTTCTACCCATAAAATATATTATTATAATATTTATTTCAAATAAAAAATATATTATCCTAAGTAAAAAAATAAAAAATAAATACATTATTATAATTAAAAATATATTATAAAAAAATTATTTAAATAAAAAATTATAATATTATAAAATTAATTGTTTTTTATAAATATATTATTTATTAATATATTTTAAAGCTGGAAAAAAAGATAGCCTAAAGAGAATAAAATTTCATTTTTCTTAGAGCATATAAAATTTGTTAATTTGATTATTTTAAATATATTATTATATTAATTAGAATAAAAAATTACTGTACCAATTTTTTAATACACATATTAACATGATAAGACTAAATTTTTATTAAATTATATGATTTAAATTAAGATGTAAATTAATTTATATAATATATCAATAAAAAACATAAACTAATATGTAAGGGTAACATGGTAAATTGATTATTACTATTCCTCCCCTCCCCTCCTTTTTAATCAAACCAAACAAGGTGAGGATGAAACCTCCCCTCCCCTCCTCTACCCCTCCCTCCCCCCCCCCCCTCCCCTACCCTCCCCTGTCCTACCCTCCCCTCAAACCAAACAGGCCCTAAAACTAGAGGCTTCATGGTGAGTGAGGCTCCATGTGAGACATATTGGAAATGAATGATTGATCCATTCGACCCCTAGGGAGGTGTCAATTGCTGGAATTGATGTGCCACAAAGAGAGTTCTTCTTGTTTCTTCTCTAGATTCAGATTCTCACTTCTGATTAGCTTAGATTTAAGTTTATTAGACACTGTGATTCTGAATTTGTATGATCTCTCAATTGAATGTGTCACTTGAGGAGGACGGTCTCCTTTGTGATTGCTTGCAGTTCTGGATGCTCCTCTTGATTAAGACATATTGCTTTCTAGTTTCAAGATTAATTTGATGCATTTGCATTTTAGACATGATATTGCGTTGTAGATGTGATTAAATTGTGGAAGGTTGCTAGAAAAGTAATCTCTGTCCAGATTTGCTTTCTTTTTCACAACTGAAAACCAAGTGGTAATTAAAAAATACTAGTGGCTAAAGTTAATTCTGAGATATTACGATGATTTCATGTTGCTATTATACTTGAATCAAGTGACATCTTCGATGTTTGCAATCTGACCGGCGGTTAAATAAATTCCATATCCTAGAGAAAAGCGAGGCAAGCATGAACACTATCTCTAGGAGTTGCTAATCACATATCTCCTATCACATTCCATTCCTCCACTTAATCACTACAATACAGAAAAACAATTAGTTCTAGACAATTAGAAATAAAGAATTTAAATCACCGTCTCTTCTCTTAATTTGTAATTAAACTTCATTAATTGGAAATTCTAAAAGCTAGAGATCAAAGAGAACTGACCTAGGGTTGACTCCACTACACTATAGGAGTTTAATTCTAGTATTTTGATAGCTAAACAACAAGTTTATCAGTGATCGATAAAAAATGACTCCATATATTGGAGACATGGTCCGTGGATTATGCTATAAGGAATCAATTGACTCAAGTCACAATCATTTTGAAGTTCCTTCCTAATTGTTCAGTTCTTTCGTGTTTACCTCTTCTTCTTCGTCTTTTTGTTTTTATTTTGGCTGTATTTCAACAGCTAACAAATAACAGGACTGGCCACTGTTAGCATGTGAACAGAAATGAGGAATCAATTTTTATCCAGTGTTGAATTTGCTGCAATGTTTTAGAATTATTTATTCTAGCTTTTCTGCACTGGGCAGCATATTATGAAGTGGAAGTGGATTCTCTTCAAGGGGGATAATGACTCATTAGCAGCGTGGTCATACGTGAAGCAAACACTATTGTTTAGGTATTCCAGTTTTATACTTCACAATGGAGAACCCATAAAAGATTTAAAAGTTCTCTACAAAAACTGCTGCTAAATCATCAGGAAGAGTAACATTTTAAACTGGATATCAGGCCCTAACATTTGAAAAATGAGTCACCCTATTTATAATTTATGAATAGAATAACTTGCTGTAATTTTATTACATATATAAATAGTGAATAGAGATAATAATTTATTTCAATTGTTTATAATTATAAATTAGATATTAGGGTATATGTATTATACAAGTCTAATAAATAAATCGCACTATTTAGACTTGTGAATAGCAAATGCTGAGGTATTTTTTCTAATATATATTGACGCATCCTTCCTACCCTTTAAAGCTTCTAATAATATCACTTAAACAAGGATTTCCTTTTTATTATGAAAAACCCATTATAAAATTTCCCATCTGTAAAATAAACATGTTTTCAACCTTTCCTAACAACTTAACCCATTGGGAAAACTGATTTTGACATGCTATCAGTGAGATAATTACATAGTCACAATCAAGACTTTAATTCCTTCTGCCCTCATTTTTGTAATTAGATTCGTTTCAACACAAGGTTTCCATGTGAAGGGTGTGAAGTATGTATTAGTAAAATCAATCTTGGGCCTCCTCCTAATAGTAGGAGCTTAAGCTTTTGGGAGACTGGGTTATTAACATATAGTCGAACTGGAAAAGGATCCTCAATCTCTCTGAAAATCCACAAGTGAAACTCCCGCGCAAACAATCTATGAGTAGAACATCCAACGAAAGCTCCAAGCCTTTAGATTATGATCCTATAGCATATCTACTAACTGTTATGTGATAATCTTGATCAAGATTTCATGCAATAATACAGTTTTTTTTTTTTTATCTACAAGCAAAAGCATGCTAAAGACTGACACTGAAAAGAATCAAGACACCCTTTCAAATGAAGGGAATTAAAGTCCAACAGATGAAAGTGTAAAACAGGAATCTAAAGGCAAAAGCATGATAAAGATTCCAGTGTGAAAAGCGTCTAAACAACCTTTCAAATGAAAAGGAAATAAAATCCAAGAAATGAAAGTGTAAAGCACGATAAACATACTTCAGCCAGGATCATCCCATTTAAGAAACATTTTATGCACTCTTCTTCCCTATAATTTCCCATCCTGAACGCCAAGCACAAGTCTACAATAGAAGTTACCTAGGAGAATTAAGCAGTTCAAATGTGAGGCTTCCTGTTTTTAAATTTCATTTCACATGAGAAAATATGCGGAATGAAGCATGCAAATGAACCAAAACAATGAAAATAACAGGATAAAGGGAAAGAAAAAGGACCTGTTCGAGAAATTCCTCACGCCATGTGTCAAGGGTATCGAAAGACCTCATAACATTAACATCATACACAAGGACACAACAATCTGCCCCTCTATAAAAACCAACTTCAAGGCTAGAACACAAACGAAGCATTGAGATATACATAAATTTTCAGAAGAGATGAGTGATTTATCTCTCCTGTAATCATATTATGCTTTTCAATAACGATGATGTAATTGATGAATATGTGAACTCATTTTCAAGGATTGTGTGGTTGAACTTTGAATGTGATACTACTGTATAATAATATATTTGTTGTGATGAAAGAGTTTTTCTTCTTGTTTTTTTTTTCCTTTAATAATTAACATGATTGTGTATTTATTTCGTAAACTATCTTCAAAAGACTACCATGAAATATCTAACGCCCACACTTTTAGAGATCAAGCTATAATATCACGCATAAAAATGCATTTTAATCTTCATTGTTTAATTTCATATAAATCTCAAATTAAAGCCTATTTATAAATGCATTTAAAAACAATTTCTTCACCACCGATTAGCATTTGTTTCATGATGAAGTCTACTAATGCATTTAGAACACCGCTAACGAAGGAAGTCAATTAACGAATATGAAAACTTAACCCCACACCATTGAGGATCATCAATGAAAGTATTACTAGATAGAGATTCAAATAATCACGTGTTTAATTACCTGTTTCCAGGATATATATATATATATATATATATATTGATGTGAAGTAAAACAATATGGAAGGCTTTGCTGCGTAATTATTCATCATTAAAATTCAATTCCAGAGTACAGAAAATATGAAACTATAAAAAACGAAGAATAATCTAACCCCCAAAATCCATAGCTTTAACATGAATTTTTAAAAAAAAGAAATAAATAAGAAACGAGATAAGAAGGTGGAAATTGAGCTCATGGGCCACTACTGAGAAACTCACTACCATAATGGGAAAAACTAAAGCCAAAGCAAAAGTTTTTCTAATGGGAAAAGGAAAAAAACAAATATTGTTGGTGTCTTCAAAACATATCATGAATGATAATAGATCATGTTTCTAAAGGCGTGATCATTATAAGCAATAGATGATACGGTAATGAACCACACTTTTAATTAGTTTCTTTCATTTTCAGCCCACTATATTTTTGCCCTCTTAGTTAATATTCGTTAACAGTGTATTTTTGGGAGAATCTCATAAAAAGGAGCTTGAAATTATTAAATTCTAAATAAGGAGCTTTTATAAAAATATATTGTTATTTGCAAGTCAAATGAAGTCAAGTGCTGTGAAAACTTATTAAAGTGTGGAAACCAAACTTGATTTGAAATTTAGTGATTTTAACTTTCTTTTTTTTGTGAAATTCTCCCTATATTTTTTGACCTTATTCGGTAACGATATGTAATCAATATGAAGAAAAGAGTAATAAACGATTTAATAAAATTTGCAAATTATTTATTTCATTTTCTTCTTCTAACTATAACTTATATGCCAAATAAACCCGGAATATATATTTCTTTTACTGGGATCCTTTTAGCACTCTCCCGTTCAAAGCGAACAACTAATTTAATATATAAATTAAAAATAGCTTTCATTAACTTTTTACAAATAAAACGAACTCATCTTCTTAATTGTATATTTCAAAATCTTGTACTACCATCACATTGTAAGTTTTTGTTGGGCAAAGTGACTAACAGTTTAAAAAAACAGCGATGAATTTACCATATAATGTTTTTCTCATTACACTATTTATAGACCCATCCTCCAAAATCATACATGAAGAAATTAGGGATAATGACCGAAAACTAATTCTTGAATTTAAAAATTCCCAAATAGTTACTTAAAAAAGCAAAATTTCAGATTAGATATAGGTGATTAAATTGGAATTTGTAAATTTGCTAAAATGACCATATTGACATCTATTTTCTTTATAAAAAAAGAACACCAACCACCCTTACTAGTTGGCTGGCCACCGAAGCTCCAGTAGGGTAGCTGCGGAAGTTCAGGTGGGCCGTCATCACCAGAGCTCCAGCAACTAATCGTCCGGCAACTATTTTTTTGGGAATTTTTATAATTTCAGCAACGCCGTTGTTAAGTTCTTTAACACTATTAACAATTTTGGTATAACAATTAATAACCAATATTTCAAAAAATTCAAAAAGTGGTATTTTTACAACTCCAATAACTTAGTTAATAAGTTCTATAATGCTATTAGTATGTTCAATATAGCAGTTAATAATAGATTTTCTAGAAAATTCAAAAAGTGATATTTTTAGGACTTTAGTAACCTGACTAACAAGTCATGTAATGATATTAACAACATTTATAATAAAACTATTAACAACTTTAATAACAAGTCATGTAATAATATTAACAACTCTCATAATACTATTAACAACTTTAATAACAAGTTATATAATGATATTAACAATTCTCATAACTATAGTGATTATCTAATAAATGAAAAAATTTTGACATACAACTTCTGCAACGAGCTAATATTAAAAACATTAATCTTCATAAGGAAATTTTGTTAATAGTGCTATGAGAGTTATTCACATCGTTACATGACTTGTTAACTAAGTTACTAAAATTAAAGAAATTCATCTTTTTGAATTTCTTGGAAACCTGTTGTTAACTGCTATATCAAAGTTGTTGATAGTGTTATAGAACTTGTTAACCGCATTACTAAAATTATAACAATGTGGCTTTTTGAATTTTCTAAAAAAAACCTATAGTTAACTGCTATACCGAACTTGTTAATAGCATTAAAAAATTTGTTTACATTATTATAGTTGTAAAAAATCTCCAACAAAATATTTGCCAAATGACCAACTGCTAAAGCTCCAATGATGGGGGCCCACCTAAACTCCGACGGTCGCCAATATCACGGGAGCTCCACCACCCAATCAACCAGTGAGGGTGTTTAGTATTTTTTTTAAAGAAAAATAAAGACCAATATGGTCATTTCACCAAATTTGTAAACCCCAATTTAGTCACTTATACCTAAACTAAAATTTTGCTTATTTAACTACTATATCGAACTTGTTAATAGTATTACAAAACTTATTAACCGCATTACTAGGGTAATAAAAATGTTACTTTTTGAATTTTCTAAAAAACTTGCAACTAACTACTATACTGAACTTACTAATAATGTTAAAAAAATTTGTTAACTGCATTATGGGAATTGTAAAAATCTCCATTAAAAAAAAAAAAGTTACCCAATGACCATTCGTTGGAGCTCTGATGATGGTAACCCACCTAAACTCTGACCGCCGCCACCATCACTAGAGCTCCAACACTCGGCCAGCCGGTGAGAGTGTTTAGTATTTTTTTTTTCAAAAATAAAGGGCAAGAGTCATTTCACCAAATTTGCAAATCCCAATTTAGTCATTTACAGCTAAACTGAAATTTTGTTCATTTAAATGACCATTTAGGGATTTTGAAATTTAAGCATTATTTTTCTATTATTTTTTCAAGAAATTAAGACAGAACACGCCTCTTTAATAATTAGGTTTTATTTTCAAATTCAAATGGTATTTGAATAATCTGACATGTAAATAATATTATCTATTATGATTATTTACAAATCCAAGTTTTAATTAGGGAAAATGCATAAAAAGAAGTTAAAAATTATAATATTCTAACTTAGGCACCCAAGAATTCAAAATCCCAAAGAAGGAAGTAGTGCCAAATCGGATATTTTGTAAATGTAGTCAAATGACTCAAATGTCTTTGTATTAGATTAAACAAAAAACTATCAAATCTGTCATTAATTACTAGTACAATTTTTTGTTATTAGCTATTTAACACTTGTTATCATCAGTTTACAACTTATTAATAAATAACTTGTCATTACTGGTACATTTCTTATCATTTGCTATTTAATACTTGTTATTGCCAATTCATAACTTGTTAATAAATTTTTTGATATAAGGGCATTTTAGTCATTTAACTATATGAACAAAATACCCAATCATGCATCACTTTTTCCTTTGGGATTTTGAAGTCTTAGGCGCCTTAACTGTAATATTACAATTTTCAACTTCTTTTTATATCATTTTTCCTTTTAATTATTGTGTAATTATTAGAATTTATAATTATTTAATAGTTCGAAGTATTTAATATTTGAATAATTATACTTGTTATAATCTAAATTCATAATGAGAGAAGTACCCGTTCAGAAAAAATTTAATTTATATCTTATAATTTAAACATATAGAGGGAGAGGGGAATGAAATTCAACCTGAAATATAATTAGATTTTATATTCTCTTCTAATAATAAAAATTTATTAGTTCTAAACTTAAACAGGATTGGATTGATTTGAAATCTAAATACAATTAGATTGATTTTACAATTAGATAAAAGTTCAAGTTGAAATTACTATAAAAGCAAAAAATTACCCGTTCTATAAAAGCAATGGGTTTTTTTTGCCAGAATAAAAGCAATGATTAGAATTTATAATTATTTAATATTTGATTTATTTAGCATTTCAATCATTCATCCCGTTATAATCTAACCTCACAATTCGGGGGAGGGATAGCAAAGCACATTAACATTTTTTTTAATGGGTTAATATAATACTTGGTTCTTCAAATTTGCATAATTTTGGCTTTAGTCCCTCAAGTTCAAACTATATAATTTAGCAACATAAGGGGTAAAATGGTTGATATTTTTATTAAATTATAGGAATTAATATTTTAAATAAAAAGAAATTTGAGATACCAAAACCAAAACGAGAGTAAACTTGAAGGACCAAAATTTATATTAACTTTTTTTTAAAATTTATATCTTAATTACAAGTAATTCGATTCTACTAACGAAATAATTCAAAAATATATACCAATTTTAAATCCAACCTGAATAATATAATTGGATGTTTTAAGATAATTAGAAATATGCGGTTCTTAAAAATAAAAAAATTAATTAGGTTCCTCTATAATAAATTAATAATTATTAGTTGTGATACGTCGGAATCAATCCACACATCAATTGTCAATCCTAACTTTCGCCACTTATTTATGAACTATAGAATTGCAATAATCACCCCAAATCAAAACCTATTTTTATTAAAGAAAAAAACAATTTAGAGATTGTATTATTATTTAAATTAAATTAACAATCCCTCTCAGCCTTTTTGCCAGACATAGGCTTTCGCCATCAATTATTTCAATGGCCTGGACGATAATTTGAAGTCTAAATTACCCATCTGATCAATGATTACATTAGAATTGGATTTCAGCCTATCTGTTTCCTCTAGTAATTTGAATAAAAATAGCCGTTAGGTTGATGGTCAATTTTGAGAAGTCGGTCTTTCAAAAATTTTAATGTTGGGACTCAGACATATATACCTTCGGCTCTTATTTTACTCAACTGCGCCATTGAGTATGCTACAGGTGCCACAGCCTCAGCTCCTCCGCCTCCGCCGGCCAAGAAGGATGCCGGAACTGCTGGTAGGAAAGTAGTTAATGCGGTCGTTGGCATGGGTGTCAACAGGAAGGTTGCCTCTGATCTTGATTGCGTTTTAGAGCCATTCGAATCGATTGGCGTTGGAGGGGACTCAGCTTCTGGGTGAGAAATATTTCTATATGAACGAAACTGAAGGGCTCAAGATTTCGCCTCTTATTACCGTAAGTCTCGTGTTACATTCTATTTGTAGATTGAGTATCCTGGTTACTGTTTTTTGAGTTCTGTAATTTTATTTGGTGACGAAGTTTAGTCAATTACATTGTGAAGCTGTAAGCTGTTAGTGTTTCATAGATCCGAGTGTATTTTTTCTCCCATAGGAAATTGACCCAAGTGCGTGTACCCTTTTCTTTAAATGTGCTCTGAAGTTACAGTATAGAGTAGCTGGAAAACCATATTGATCAAAGGTTTTGTTGTAGGTTCATGGTATGATTTATGAGGATCGTGGTTAAAAACACTGTGATAATTGAAATTGAAGTATGTTTATCTTCACTTTCTATATCAGTTAACGTCCACTAAGCTTTGGCTTTTGTTTGTAGAAGTGATTCTGCGGTTCTGTTTACCTGCTCCTATCTCTTCTTATTTTGTCTAGCATTTTACACCTATTGGATATAGGTCTTGCTTGATATTTGATATTTCTTTGGTCCTTTGAGGAGCCTATTGACGGAAAGAGTACGTGAAACTAGTAAGAAACCATATACCAATTTATATCCGTCAAAACATTAGTAATTGTTATGTTATTTTGTTAAGGTGCTTCTACATAGCCTTGCATTTTGTTGAAATTAAGTATTTGTTGCCCATTCATAGAGAAGCTCCTGCTTTTGTTGAGAGCGACAGATCCTTCTCATAGGAATCAGAGTATCTTTTCTTCTCCTTCTCGCATTCATTTCGGTCTGTTTATTGGAATAAATTTTGATTGTTTACTCCGCAGCCACTCTTCTTGATGTCTAAGCGTGTGTTATAAAAAGAATGGTTCTATGTTTCCCAACAGTAATTTTTCTCGCATTCTCGCACTCCGCTGGTCAGTTCACGGCTTCTCTCACAATGATGATGTGATATGAGAAATGGGAATTTTGTAGACTTAAGTACTTCTTTGTCCGTTTCTTTCCTTCAGGGGTTTTAATAGCTAAAACTTCTTAACATTTTGGTGAAAATGACTTCCGAAACTTTCCCTAATGCATGCAATTTTAGTGCCAGTTTGTTTTTTTCTTTGTGCTTGTTGATGACAGTTTTGCTTCTTTCTGTCACAAGCGAGAGATTATTGGAACCTAATTTGAAGGTAATGGCAAAAAAAAAAAAAAAAGAAAGGGAAACAAAGCAAAAAATACACAAGGCTCCTAGCAATTTGAGAGTGCTATGCTCTCCACGCAGATGCCCACATGTTCCCTGCCTCTCATTGACTCCATCACACGCAATATATGCCCCAATGTCTCCCTCCCTCCATCTTTATCTCTCACCCTAACATCATATCTCGCAACCCATATGTTCGTTACCAGCTTGGTCCATTAGTTATGGACCTATCAACGGTTAATCATTGTTGAAGACTTCAGATTATTTTTACGTTCTTCCTTCCAATTTCTGTTTGTC